AATTTAACTGCCAGGCACGTAGAGCGGAGTGCTTCCACCGATCAGGATACACCCATGAGCATCACCCCGGCCTCCTGTCCGCAATATAAGCTACGCCGAGGCGTCGAGACAGTAACGGATCTTTGGAAGGAGTCGACGGTAGGATAAGATGGTGGTACTGCGGTAAGCCATTTGGAAGCAAATCACGGCGCAAAGTGGTGCTCGCCAGAAGAAAGGCGGTTCTTCAATCGCCGTCGAGCTATTCTATATCTAATACAAGACATTGCTGCTCAAGGCCACGTAGTTGCTGTAGTCACAGAAGTTGCAGCGATCGAGCAGGTCGTCAAAGCTGTGGAAGAGTGCCGGCAAAAACACAAAAAATCACTGAACTGGATAAGAAGCGTTCCTTGATTGGCATTCTCGGTTTGGACTGCCACCGAAATGGATTTCAGATCAAGGCTCCCATTTCAAAAACGAAGTGGTGAGTGAGCTTTCACGCCGCCTGCGAACGCAGCAGGAGTTCACGCCTGCCTATTGCCCGTGGATCAACGGGTCGGTAGAGCGCGTAAACAGAGACATCCTCCAAGTGATCCGAACAATGATCCTGGAGTACAAGATTGCTCACCGCGACTGGGTCTACTTGATACCAATGGTACAATCGAGCCTCAACCACACAGCAGTGCCATCGTTGGGTAATAGAGCCCCCATTGAGTTATTTACTGGATTACCGTGTCCGACACCTCTCCGAGAATTTTACCTGCCTAGTACTGGGGAGTTCAAGGAGGTGCCCACAAGTGACAAGATCAATGGTTCCTCCCAGGCCCTCATGGTGAGCTGGGGCCGTTAGATCCTTCGATCAGAATCATCGAAATGGCGTCTCTTGGCGTTCGAGTCCGCAACACACGGCGGTTTTACGTGGTTAACCCAACGAACGTGTCGTATGAGTTTTCGTGGATCCCGCAAGGGAACAACAACCCGTGCTTTCGGTGCGCGACACCGAAGGGTCTGATGCTTGCTGGTAAACGATGTGAGATGATTTTTGAATTCACTCCACAGCAACTAGAACTCCAGGAAATGTTCTGGTACTTCAAAATTCCGCATTTCCAGGTTAGTCAGCTTTTCGTGTTTGTGGGTACGACGACGGAGCCTCGAGTCGCGTTGGATCGTGCAAGTGTCAACTTTAACACACTGATGATCGGAACAAAGACATCTCAAAGCATTTCGTTGATCAATCAGGAGCTTATTCCATTCAATTTTGTATTGGACAAGACGTCGCTGGACTTTGCAGGAGAGTTACCTGCACTGATTGTTCACCCTCTGAGTGGCGTGATTCCACCCAATAGTCGAACTTCGATCGAGGTTGAGTTCATGCCGATTGAAGAAAAGTCGTACAATTTTAATCTGAACTGTATCATCAAGCGCAAACCCACGCGACTATCTCTGAATGTCAAAGGGGAGGGCTATAGTATTCACGATGCACTCATCTTGACATCTGAAGATCAAAGCGAAAGCCGGGCATTAGTTTCAGGCCTCGGTAATTTGTTGGACTTTGGAGCTGTGCGCGTCAAC